CCTAAATCAACTCATTTTTAGCTTAATTTCACTTTGGCATTTGAAATTTTACAAAAATCGGTTTAGAATCAACTTTTTTTCAATTTGCGGAATTTGGTTCAAATCGGCCAAAAATGAAATTACTTCATTTCTAGTCATTTTTTAGGTTAGTTTCCTTCACGACATTTGATCTAGAGGTTGTATTACATTCAATTTTGGAACCAATTTTGTAATTCCAAGCCAAGTGCAAAAACCCTCAATTTAGGCCCTAATTAGTGATTTTGATCAATTTTTCATGATTTGCGCAATTAAGACACGAATGAGCCTAATTTCTTATGTGAAATCCAAATTCGAAATCAATTTTGGAAGATTCACATGAATTTGAGCTAATTTGATCAATTTAGTGATTCAATGATTGAGAAATCTAAGAGTAATTGATCCAATTAGTGAAATTCAACTTGACACAATCTAGACTAACATCCAGTTTGATGAATTGAGGTTCAATTTGGCTAATTAGACTTCAATTAAATTCGTTAGTTTAGCTTGGCCATGCAATTTAACTCAAATCAAAGAACAATTGGGCTAAACAGGTTAAATTGGATCAATTTGTGCATGAATTTCAAATTGGTTCGATCCAATTTAATCAAATTCAATATTAATTGGATCAATCAATCATGATAGGAATTAAATTGCACAAAGTTGGAACAAATTGGGCCGAGAATTGAATCTGTTCAACCCGGTCAAACTCGGGTTAAACCGGTCCTACCGGTTCAACCCGGTTTGACCCGAATTGAACCGGCCCGATTGGACTGACCATTTTCCGATCAAAAATCTGGTGGCCAGCGGTCCATTCCGACCAGCCAAGGTTGGCCACATCCCTTTGAGCCCAAAATGACAAAAATGCCCTTAAATAAAAATTACACAAATGCCCCTAAGTGAAATTACCAAAATGCCCTTCATTATGGATTAAGCAAATTACTTAAGAATTAAGCAAATCAATCATGGCCATTCATTTAGAATTTATCATGGCCATCCATAATGTCATGTCACATATCCTTAGCCCTTAAGGAATATTTTAAATCATTAATGATGTATTCTAGGCCATTAAATCAATTTAAGGGCTAAGATTCAAAGTTGAGGGGGGTATATAAGCTTTTTCCCTCCAAAATTTGATAGGGACTCTCATTTTTCTAGATCTATTTTCTCTCTCATCTCTCTCCCTCTCTCTCTATCTCACGTTCTCTCCCTTTCTTCTCTTGGCCGTGAGCTTTCCTTGCTCATGCCGGCCACTTGCCGGCTGATTTTCGGCACACCGCTGCCACTCCGACAGTCCTCCGGACATCCTAGAGCCAGTTGCAAGGCTGGCCATGGCTACTGGTAGCCAAAACACCTCCGATCAGCTCCATCTTCCTCTCGGTTACATCACTGGCAACCGAGCCGGTGATTGATCCAGCTAGCTTCCGTGGTGATTCCGGCATCCCGGCATTCTTCCTAGGCGGTTCGAGGCTTGCGATCAGCATCCTCAACTTCATCTCAAAGTTGTGGTGGCCGGCTTCCATCGGAAAAGCCATCGGAGTTTCACTTTAAGCTTGATTTTACTTCTTCTACTTTGGATAGCAATCTTACGTCGATTTTCTTACCTTGCGACATAGATATCGGAAGCTATATTTGGCGCCATTCCGGAGTTCATTGGTGACCAAAATAGCTCATTTGAGCTCAGCAATATCATTGAACAAGGTAAGTATACTTGGATGAAATCGTGCACAGAGAGGTTTGCATGCTTTAAAATGTTGATTTCATCTTGTAAATGTCGAAATCTGAAGAAGTGATCAATTAGAAAGTCACAGGATATGTCGTGAGCTTCGATTTGATATGTCGCATGCCCCAATTGGACTTCGTTTGCTAGGTCAAAACTCCTTTGAAAGTCGAGATCAGAATCTGGAATGATAATGTTGAGTCCTATTCTTCTGTGAGACTGAATGACCTTTCTCGATTGGATGATTTTTCTGATTTTCTGTGTTCATTATTTGAGAAAACTTCCTCCATGAAAGTTGTCGAGCCCATTCAGATATGTTCATTGTAAAAATTTCATAAAATTATAATCATATTAGGTTAGGACGATTAGCAACGTCATCTAGGCTCAGTTCTTGTGACAGATGAATTTCTGAATGACCTTCATGTGTTCTTCGATTTTTATAAATTCTTATATTCAAAATATGAAACAAATTTCTTCATAAAAGTTCATATTGAGATCTATATCTTTCCAGTGACACCAATTTTATCAAAATATGAGTTCATTTTGATTTTCAAAGGAATTTTTATGATTTATTCAATATCTGTGTTCAGATCTGGTTTTCCTTTCTCTAAAATCCAAAATATGTTTCTCCGAATTTGATAAACTTTGAGTCCTTTTTTGCAAAACCTCAAAACTACAAAGTTGTCCATTAGGGTCTTATTATGTAGACTAAAAATTTTTGGGGCCTAATAGCAATGTCTAGAGGGTCAATTGACTAAAAATCTCAGATAAGGTCTTCCCGGCCTCAAAAATGATTTGCAAACGAGTCCTTGGTGAAGACCGAATTTCATAAAAATTTGGGGGACTTTTTATCAAAACCTCAAAACATAAAAGTTGTCACACACGGAGAATCCTAACTGTCTAAAAATTTTGGTCAGATTTTGATAAAGGTCACTATTTTTTCCGCGTTTTTTTTTAATTCAAATGTAAACCAGGTCTAGACTGTCACCAAGGGTAGAATTGTCTTTTTTCGTAAAAATCGGTGGGGAATTAGAAAAAGTGGTCTCTTGACTTTTTATCCTCATGACATAAGCTTTGTAATGACACCTGAATCACTTCATTTTGACATTATTAGGTTAATTAATCATACTCAAACAAAATGGATCCGAATTTAATAACTAATAATTGATTAAGTGGTCCTCTTATGAGGCCCACTTCCCATTGCTTGATTGGTTGAGAAACAAGGCCCATGAGCCTGAATGCATGTTTTACTCATTACTATACATGTGTTTGATAGATGTATGTTAGGCCCGGTGCATGTTCGGCGGGTAGCCCATTATGGTCACTTAGAACCCGACTTTAGGGGTTAATCGATATGAGTTGTCATTTTGCGAATGCAAATAGTAGCTCGTTATCGTTAACCATTAATCAAACAATGTTAGATGATTAAGTGGGTGGATGAATCGAAATGCATGTAAAGCAAAGGCCAATCCCGAGGCCCGTGTTTGATTAGTGAATTGTTTGCATCATTGCCTTTCTTTGGTTGTTCCTTTGTGCATTGTTTGTCGTGAATGTATCTCATGAATGTAAACACTGACACCCGAGAGGCAGTCCATGGAGAGGATAGTCCAAAATTGTAAAAGACCAAGGCAATAGACCGATGTCCAATCCGATCTCAATTTGTATTCACTCAACGGTGGAGATAGACCGATGTCTGATTCGGTTTCAATTTGTATTCAATTCATTCGTTCCCGATCATGTCTCGGGTTTCAATTTGTGTTGTAATAAACACCTAACGAGTTGCCGGTTTTACTTTCTCGCACTTAGAGTTAGCTCGTCCTTTTAATACCTTGAGTGTTTACTTTACGCAATATTTTTCAATACAATTGTTTGTTTCTTTCCTTTCTAGACTAAAATAGGATTAGTTTAGAATCTTAAATGAAAATACAAAAACAAGATGCATGATCACCTAGTGGACTAAGACTTTGGCATGAAAATGGTAAGAACAAATGCATGACAATTTGGATAACAACCATGATAAGTTTAGCGGTAATGAAAGGGCGTTAATAGAAATATTAACGTAAACTAGTCCTCGAATCCATGATCTCTGGTTCTCGTAGAAATCAATACGAAATTCCCCGCATATTGGTTGGGTATTCTACCAGACCCCCAACCTAGGCTAGTGGTGACACCTGAAAAAAGATAAAATTGATCCGCTGTCGCACGAGGCATGGATTAGGGAAGATCCATGTTCATGATCAATGAGCTGTACGGATGACCAAAAGATTGATGTTTTAGTAAGCCGTCTTTTATGTGCCGTACGGACTGTTTCATGAACATTTACCTCTAAACCCACTTCATCGAATTTGGCCCTCCTCATGAGGTAGGTCGCGACACTAAGGGATCCAAACACTGGAAAATGAGAAAAATATTTTCCGCAAAACAAACAGAACCTAAATATCAAAAAAAAAAATTCCGTGTCACTTTCCAGTACACTATCAAACAACTGAAAACAAGTCATTTTCTTGGAAGATGATTTTCACGGAAAACATTTTCCTCCATTAAAAAGTTCTGTACACCCTCATAATCAAAGGTTTTCGTCTAAGTCAATACAAGATGAAATATATAATGAGTAAGTTCAATAACTGAAGAAACTCGAACGACACATAGGTAGCAATATCTCGAATTTACTTTGCCAAAGAAAAAAATTGAAAATCGATGGAGATCTCATCGTGGAGTTCAGGATGTGTGAAGTGGAGAAGTATGATTGGGGGTTTGAGTGACTATGGAATGCCAATTAATTAGATGAAGGAAAAATTTCGTAGGACGACTATAAGGCCAGCGAAGTGCTATGGCATTGACTGTGGGGCAAATAAATGTTGACATGCACAAAAAATGAGTTTAGACAACGGAGATGAGAAAGGTTCATTTGATTTGTGTATATGCGAGATAAAGAATAAAATTGCAAATGAATCTATCCAGGAAAAAACAGGTGTTACCACAATGAAGTATAAGATGAGAGAATTTTGTTTGAGGTGGATTCATCATGTTGAATTGAAAGATCTTCGAATGCTTTGATGAGGAGGTGTAAGCAAGATGCGTACACTGTGAAAGATCTTATCGGTGTTGTTTTCCATTTAAGATAAAGATCAGGAAAAATTAAAACCACAAGTCAAATTATGACAAACCTCAAATTTAAGGGGCAGAATATTATACTATCCACCCTTTGAAAAGTCAAGAAGACCAATTAAAATACTCCACCTTTTCACGATGGGGCCCTTGGCATATGCGGATAAACAAAAACATTGACTTGAGTCTTGAAAGCATCACAGTCTTGAATAAGAGAGCATTCAAAGAACACATCGAAAGAAAAGAGAAGTTTCGAACAAAGAAGAAGATGGATGCCTCAGCAAGGGCGGTCCGTTGGAACTACGACGTGTTCTTGAGCTTCAGAGGCGGAGACACTCGCACCGGCTTCGCCGATTTCCTCTACAACAGCCTGGTAGCCGCTGGGGTCCACGTGTTCAGGGATGACAACGCGCTCCCGGTCGGAAAGCAGCTAGGCCCAGAGCTTTTCTGGGCCATCAGGAGTTGTGGGATCGCGATCCCAATCCTCTCCGAACAATATGCGGAGAGTAAATGGTGCCTCCGCGAGCTTGCTGAGATTATGGATTGCCACGCATATTATGGCAAATCAGTCTACCCTATATTCTATAAGGTGGATGTTGATCATGTTAGACTCCAACGCGGTAACTTTGAAGAGGCTCTACGTAAACATAAGGAGCGGTTCAGCTCAAGAGAAGTGCTAAAATGGCGGGAAGCGTTGACTGCTGTAGCAAGGATTAGAGGATGGATATCAAACACCGTTGCTAATGGGTATGTTTGTATGTATGTATGTATGTTTGTATTTACAAATCTATATCTGTGGAAACTCTATATCCAAACCCCTGTGCGCTTGATGGGAATGACTGATCCAGAACCGCAGGGTCAGGGGAAGAAAGGATAAAACTGTACGCCTAACTTTGGTTTTACACATATATCTGGGTAGGCACGAAGGAGAACTGGTGAATATGGTGGTGGCAAAGGTTTCGAGTGAATTGAAGATGACATGGATCGAACGGCTCCCCATGTTTCCTATATTGATGTCTAATTATTGCGTAAGATCAGGTATCGCCCAATTCAAATTTGAACAAAGTGCCTACCATTAGTAGACATTCTCCGTGTTCATCATCTGAGAGTTTTGGCCTTGCTTCAATTCCCACATAGAGTAAGGCATGTAAAGTTCGCGTGGTTTGTGATCTAGAACGATTTCGTGTCTTTTAAAAGTTACCTTGGTTTTTTTAGATGTTCTTATGATTCGCATTGGCTTCATCTTATCATCATCACTTTGGCTTGTCTTGTTGGATCGCAGTGCGTCATTACTTTTTGCAGAAGAAAAGAAGAGAAAGTAAATGGCAAGTGTTCTTGGCCTTTCGTGGCTCTGATACTCGATTTGGCTTGGCTGCTTACCTCTACATCAGCCTTATGGCTACAGGAATCAGAGTGTTTAACGATGATGATCCATTCCTCATAGGAAAAGATATTGATCATGAGACTCGCAATGCCATCGACTGCTGCAGGATATCCATTCCGATTCTCTCTGAAAATTTTGCCAAATCTAAATGGTGCCTCGACGAGCTAGCTCACTTGGTTGATTGCAAGAAAAGAAAGGGGCAAAAGATATTGCCCATCTTCTATAAAGTGACAACCTCACATGTGAAAGATCAATTTCGAAAAGACATGGCTCAAAATAAGGAGTCGGTCGACGGAAATATTTATGAGGGGTGGGAGCGAGCTCTCAAGGAGGTTGAGTCCTCCCACGTATGGGTATCGCAGAATATCGACAATGGGTACTCACTTTCATCAAACCCCCACCAAAGCCTTAGTCTGATCCTATTATTGGAAACTTCTTATACTACTCAAAGCTTATTTTAATTTTATTTGGCAATTGACAGGCATGAAGGGGTACTTGTAAAATTGGTCGTCAAGGAGGTTTCGAGGTTGTTGAACGATCCCCAAACACGTCCCACCCCCAAGCACATCTCCCGTATGTGATTCCTATTTTACAAGAGTAATTTCCTCGATGATTAAGCGTGTGCTCGTTTATTATTGGTCATTAGCATTGACTTTCTAAAGACTGGCGGGGAATTGTTTTGGAGTTAAGTAACATGTTACTCATGTTATGTTGTATAATATGTTCAATGAAAATGTCATTTTTGGATTCAGATGTGACACGATTAACGAATATCTCTTGTTTGGATTTGACAAGTCTATTATGTTACAAATAAAGAGAGAATATGAAAAGAAGAATGTTGGTAAATTCCTCATAGTGATTCTAATTTAGTCAAAACACTGCTGAAAGTTCGGAGGAAATGATAATTCACTACCTTATTGGAAAGCCCTTGCTTCCTTCCTCCAAATCCTAGAGCACCGTGGAATCTAGAGCCGATCAAGTTTCTCGACCGAAATCCTCAAACTTTCAAACCAGTCGAGACTCCAACCGGGGATGATGTAGAATTCTGGACCAATGAAAGCTCGTACCAGCAATGTCGTCGGATCCAACAACCGAGGATACACTATGTTACCATTATAAAAGATTGGGACACGCTTGCTATATTTAAAGTTTAGTATGAACGGACTTCTGACACAAAGGAGACCATTTTATCATGTCTCTATTCGAAAAAGACAAACCTACAATAATAGTCTTATTCAGAGGTGGAAAAACCGTCGGAGTAGGTGACTTCCGTTAATTAGGTGATTGACGATTTTAATGGTCATTGAACTGATTTTTTTTTTTACATTTAGCTCTTAGGATTTGACATTTGAAATTACATTAGTTGTCTGAAGGTTGCATAACGGAGTTGACATTGAGTTGAAGTAAAATACAGATTGCCTTCAAATTAAGTCTAGTGCATCTTCCTTAACTATGACTAATCAAAAACACGATGAGAAAATGGAAATAGGAAAAGAGTTGCAATTTGCATCAACATAGCTTGTAATATGCTACCATATTAGAAATATTAAAATTGTTTTGTCTTTAATACAAACTTAGTCTTCAAGATGATACAAACTTGGTCTTCAAGTTTGACAAACTTGGTCTTCAAGATGATACAAACTTGGTCCTCAAGTTTGACAAACTTTGACCAAGTTTGTATCAAACTTGGTATTCAAGAAAATTTCCTTAGGAGTAGTATAAATAGGTTATCTCCTCCTTATTTGTGTAAGTGTGTATGAAAAGCCATAGAAAGAGAGAGTTGAGAGTTGTGAAAAAAAAGCTTATAGAACTAAGCTTGTATTCCTCTGTGAAAAGCCTGTGCAAAAGGCATTTTGAATATTATTCTCTCTCGTTTGTGTATCTGTGTGCTTCTCACCAAAATCATCAAAGTTTGTCCATATCCTTTTTGGTTCCTACAGTCTGAAGGTTGCATAACGGAGTTGACATTGAGTTGAAGTAAAATACAGATTGCCTTCAAATTAAGTCTAGTACATCTTCCTTAACTATGACTAATAAAAAACACGATGAGAAAATGGAAATAGGAAAAGAGTTGCAATTTGCATCAACATAGCTTGTAATATGCTACCATGTGCTTGACCACTGTGAGAGATCTCCTTTTTTACCTTTTTGGCAGGGGCTTTATGCTTATCAGTGATGTCGTCGTCTCCAACAACTGAGTATATACTATGTTACCATAATAAAAGACCTTTGCCCATCATCATCTTCTAGTTTTTGCTCTTATCCCAGATTGACACATCCCCGAACCAAGACCTCAAGTCTTTTAGTGGCCTCAAGAATTCTAATCACTAGAAAGGAATACGGTATTTTCATTCACGATGATCAAGCCGATTCGTGAAGAAAATTATATATAGCTAATCCTTAAATGACCTCAGATTACGAGAGACACGAATTTTACATGCCCGACTTTATTCAACAATACCCAAATTTCAATCGGTGTAAGTTTAGATTGGAAAACATGGACCTGGAAAATGACACCACTATCTAGGAGAAGAGGGAATTTCTCCAATTATTACTCGGAATTCTACACGTTGCTCTACAAAATCATAGTCTGAAAAACGGGCGTACGCTATGTAGCTGTCTGTGACCAGGAAGTCAGCGGGGTCAGCAAGCACAGGCAGAAGTCAGCAGCAGCAGCAATTAGCAGAAACGGCAAGGTCAGCAAAACAGAAGCAGAAGCACATGGGGGTGTCAGCAGCAACGTGCGGGGTGGGGAGGAGGAGGGGGTGTTGGGGGAGAGCAGCGGGGAAAGAGGAGAAGTCAGCAGTAGCATGGGCGGACGTGGGATTGCAGCGGAAAAGAAGGAAAGAAAGTCAGCAAGCAAAACAGAAGCAGCAACGTAGGGCTGCTCGACGGGAAAAGAGGAGGAGGAGAGAGAGAGGAGTGGGGTTCAACATTATCCCGCAAAATCTTGCCCAATTTCCTTTTTTTTTTCAAATTCCGATCAACTCGATAATTGGCCACGCTTAATGAGACGACGTCCGATAAATTAGTCGTGGAAATCTTGAAACTTCGACGCCCAATTCGGATTTTAATTAATGGTCAAATTCAATCGAATGCGACTTTAGCGTATCTCGAACTAACGAGCAGCTTTTAGGAATTACGTGTATCGACTCATGGCCAATTCGATATCGAGCCACATCTAAGTTTACTCGAGCCATGACGACCTCGGTTGTCATGTAATTGCGAGGATCAATCACTAGTTCCGAATGACGCGATCGTTCGAATTAGGTTTAGGATCGATCGAAATTCATACAATGGCCATGCGGAATCACCCGCGATTCAATTGCACAACATTTGCGAATCATTCTATAACCATTTTTGGATTGACCTATAACGGCCCAAAATATTCCCTAAATGACCTCAGATCACGAGAGACACGAATTTTACATGCCCGACTTTATTCAACAATACCCAAATTTCAATCGGCGTAAGTTTAGATTGGAAAACATGGACCTGGAAAATGACACCACTATCGAGGAGAAGAGGGAATTTCTCCTATTATTACTCGGAATTCTACACGTTGCTCTACAAAATCATAGTCTGAAAAAAAGCGCGTACGCTATGTAGCTGTCTGTGACCAGGAAGTCAGCGGGGTCAGCAAGCACAGGCAGAAGTCAGCAGCAGCAGCAGCAATTAGCAGAAGCAGCAAGGTCAACAAAACAGAAGCAGAAGCACATGGGGGAGTCAGCAGCAACGTTGGGGGGGTGGTTTTTGGTGTGGTGGGGGAGAGCAGCCGGAAAAGAGGAGAAAGTCAGCAGTAGCATAAGTGGACGTGCGGGTGCAGCGGAAAAGAAGGGGGGGGGGGGGGGAGCAGCGGGAAAAGAGGAGAAAGTCAGCAGTAGCATGGGTGGACGTGGGAGTGCAGCGGAAAAGAAGGAAAGGAAGTCAGCAAGCAAAACAGAAGCAGCAACGTGGGGCTGCTCGGCGGGGAAAGAGGAGGAGGAGAGAGAGAGGAGTGGGGTTCAACATTATCCCTCAAAATCTTGCCCAATTTCCTTTTTTTTTTTCAAATTCCGATCAATTCGATAATTAGCTACGCTTAATGAGACGACGTCCGATAAATTAGTCGTGGAAATCTTAAAACTTCGACGCCCAATTCGGATTCTAATTAATGGTCAAATTCAATCGAATGCGACTTTAGCGTATCTCGAACTAACGGACGACTTTTAGGAATTACGTGTATCGACTGGTGGCTAATTCAATATCGAGCCACATCTAAGTTTACTCGAGCCATGGCGATCTCAGTTGTCATATAATTGCGAGGATCAATCACTAGTTCCGAATGACGCGATCGTTCGGATTAGGTTTAGGATCGATCGAAATTCATACAATGGCCATGCGAAATCACCCACGATCCAATTGCACAACATTTGCGAATCATTCCATAACCATCATTGGATCGGCTTATAACGGCCCAAAAAATTCCCTTGTCAATCATTATGGACGAAGTGTCAATCCATGGCCAAGTTATTAGGTCCACGTACTTGATTCCTATCTAGCCATTCCCTAACGGTTAGTTTACTCGAGAGTGATCAATTCCGAGCGAGATTTAACTGAAAGCGCATTGAAGAAATATTCATTTCATAAATCCCGAAAATAGGTCGAAATTTAGAATGTCACATTATAACAATTTACAAATACCCGATGAAATATTGTCTTACCGACTCCTCTAAAATCTTACTATTACTTTATGTAAATTACCATCAATATCGAGAATTTACCAACAATCCAACAAACTAATAAATTATCAAATTCTATGAAATTTACTAGTGTTGGTAGATGATGTAAGTAAATTATCAACGCTATAAAAAGTCTAGCAACTCCTCTGAATTTTTAGTAGTGTTGTAAGTACTTAAAAGGATGTGAAAGGACACTAATGAAAACATAGAGCATTTAGAGCTACATAGGATCTAATAGGTGACGACACATCAGTAAAATATCGACCTAATGAAATTCATAGAAGCAGCTCAATTTAGCTTGATAAGATTTTGTTAGTTGTTATAGGTGCTTAAAACATGCAATGTTAGAACGTGCTTAGATTCTAGTCAACATAAAACACTGGAAATGTGGGAAGGATGATTTTGGATTAAATTAGGATATTAATAAAAATTGATGCCAACGTTTATTTCTTATGTCTATTTCGGTGTCTCTCCACTTAAGAAGAACAATCCAAGCACTCAAAATGGTGTGAAAGTATTACTGATAAAGTTGGAGAATCTTGTTAAGGGTCGTGAGTTGTTAATTGTTTTGATTGAATTTAACTTGCTCAAGGGACGATTTCAAGTAGTCTCTGAGTTATTAAGGCATTTACAAAGTTACTAAAGATATGATCTTGAATTTACTAACACAGTAGAAAAAATCTCTCATGCAAATTCATTTTTGCTCTCAAAATTTGCTCTTATTGGTGGTTTTTTTCTTTTTAACAGAACAATTAGACAATATTGAAATTACAGGTCAAATTCAAGTCTCCGTACCCATTGAATCTCTGGTTTGTAGAAGTGAAGCATTTTCCCGTGCTTTACTTGGATGTCTAATTGACCCATCAAAAATTGATTAGTGGTGACTTCTAGATGAAATTGATTTGCATGTTAACAACTCAAACCCTAAGTCGTGAATTGGTATGGGCTTGGGAGAGCTCGAGCTAGGTTTAACTTGATAATCCATTTAGCCAAACCATCTAGACGGCTGGGCCAGTTCGGGGAGGTCGCGACACAAATGTTGTAATTCAAGACATTTCAATTAAACATGGTGCTGCTAGTTTCCTCCATTCAATACTAGAATCTCAACGCTGGCTCTGATACCACTTTGTTGGAGAGAACCGGGCAACAATTCACCAAGAACCAAACCCAATCCAAGATCAATATCTCCCCCGAAACTAAACCGACTGAAATCAACTTAATCTTAGCAACAACTACCAATATTCCAACAATACAACCTCGCAATTATGAGGAGGCAAATGCACAGAACAATACCAAGATTTAACGAGAAAACCCAATGAGGGAAAAACCACGGACCGCCCAAAACACTCCACTAATCACCAAGAATAGTAGGATACACAAAGTTTTTCTCTAGTCACATACTAGAGGCACTACATCAACAATACAACATCATTTCCATCACCACAATTGTGGATTTACATGAATGGATGAGAAAAACCCTAACCGCGATTGGAGAATTCGGAGGAGGATCTCAATGAACGAAATGATCAACTCGTAGCCCTCGGTCTCATAAATGATATACTAAAATTTATGCCAATTCCAACAACGTTTGGCTCTCGAATAGGGACCACAAGCTGCGGCCCCTTTTCTTCCTTTCTCTCCTCTGTTCTCTCGGTGAGCACTCCCTGTTTTCTCTCTCCTGGGCACACTGCCGAAGCTGCCCATCTTTTTCTCTTTTGTTTTGTTGCTCTTTTGACTTTTTTTTTTGACTTTTCTTCTTTGTTTTTCTTTTTTCTTTTAATTTTAATGTTAGCTGGGCCCACAAATGAGGCGGGACCCAGCCAAGAAATCCTTTGGAATCGTGGTGCAAAGAGGTGCAATAGAGTCTGCGTTTTCACGATTAGGTCCTTTGGATTCGTGGGTAAACAAAAACAATGACTTGGAGTCTTGAAAGCGATAAGAGAAGAAAATGTATGCCTTAGCAATTGTTCTACGACCAATTTTGTCCGTGTACTCTTAAAAAATAAACAAGAAGGACGACTTAAAAAATAGTCAACATTTTCACAATGACTTGAATCTTGAAAGCATCGAGTCTTGAATAAGAGAAAGCATTGGAAGAACACACATTTGGATCTGAAAACAGAAAAGACAAGTTACGAACAATGAAGAAAAGGAATGCCCTTGCAGCTCTAACACTAGCCCCTCTGTCCTTTTACTCTTACAGATTCCTGCAGCAGAACACAAGCATGGTCCCTCGGCATTACAACGTGTTCCTGAGCTACGGAGATGGAGACACTCGGACTGGCTTCGCCGATTTCCTATACAACAGCCTAGTAGCTGCAGGGGTCCACGTGTTCAGGCACGACGACGCGCTCCCGGTTGGCAAGCGGATAGGCCCGGAGATTCTCCGGGCCATTAGGAGTTGTAGGATCGTGATTCCTATCATCTCCGAAGAGTATGCGCAGAGCAATTGGTGCCTCCGCGAGCTCATGGAGATTATGGATTGCCACAGACATTATGGCAAATTAGTCTTTCCTGTATTCTATAAGCTGGATGTTGTTGATGTACGTGATCAACTCGGTAGGATTAAAGAGGCTCTATGTCAACTTGAGAAGCAGTACAGTTCAGAAGAAATGCAAGAATGGCGAGAGGCGCTGACTTCTGTGGCGAGGATTAAAGGATGGATATCAAACAATGTTGCTAATGGGTATGTATATATTTATGTTTATATGTGCGTATGTACGTATCTCTTTGAAATCTGAATCCGAACCCCTGTGCACTTGGCTGGGAATGACTGATCCAGAATCGCAGGGTCAGGGGAAGGAAGGATGAAACTGTACGCCTAACTTTGGTTTTACACACTGTATGTGTGTGTGTAGGCACGAAGGAGATCTGGTGAATATGGTGGTGGCAAAGGTTTCAGATGAACTGCAGACGACATGGATCGAACGGCTCCCCGTGTTTCCTATATTGATGTCTAATTATTGCGTAAGATCAGGTATCGCCTAATTCCATTTGAACCAAGCGCCTACCATTATTAAACATTCTACGTGTTCATCATGTGAGAGTTTTGGCCTTGCTTCAATTCCCACATAGAGAGGGCATGTAAGATTCGTGTGGTTTCTGACCTAGACCGATTCCGTGGCTTTTAAAAGTTACCTTGGTTTTTTTTTGGGATGGTCTCATGATTTGCATTGGCTTCATCTTATCACCATCACTTTGCTTTGTCTTGTTGGATGGCAGTGCATCATTACTTTTTGCAGAATAAAAGAAGAGAAAGTAAATGGCGAGTGTTCGTGGCCTTTCGTGGCCCTGATACTCGATTTGGCTTGGCAGCTTACCTCTACATCAGCCTTGTAGCTGCAGGAATCAGAGTGTTTAACGATAATGATCCATTCCTCATAGGGAAAGATGTTGATCATGAGATTTACAATGCTATAGACCGCTGCAAGATATCCATTCCGATTCTCTCTGAAAATTATGCCAAATCTAAATGGTGTCTCGACGAGCTAGCTCAAATGGTTGAATGCAAGAGAAGAAAGGGGCAAAAGATACTGCCCATCTTTTATAAAGTGACAACCTCACACGTGAAAGATCAGTTTCGAAAAGACATGCTTCAACATAAGGAGTCGGTCGATGGAAATATTTATGAGGGGTGGGAGCGAGCTCTCAAGGAGGTTGAGTCCTCCCACGCATGGGTATCGCAGAATATCGACAATGGGTACTTACTTTCATCGTTCCCCCAACACCTTAACCTGATCCTATTATTGGAAATTTCCTATACTTCTCAGCGCTTACTTTAATTTTATTTGGCAATTGACAGGCATGAAGGGGTACTTGTAAAATTGGTCGTCAAGGAGGTTTCGAGGTTGTTGTACGATCCCCAAACACGTCCCATCCCCAGGCACATCTCCCGTATGTGATTCCTGTTCTACAAGAGTAATTTCCTCGATGATTAAGCGTGTCCTCGTTCATTGTTGGTCATTTGCATAGACTTTCTATAGACTGCCCTGGAATTGTTTTGGAGTTAAGTAACATGTCACTCATGTTATGTTGTATAATATGTTCAATGAAAATGTCATTTTTGGATTTAGATGTGATACGATTAACGAATATCTCTTGTTTGGATTTGACAAGTCTATTATGTTACAAATAGAGAGAGGATATGAGAAGAAGAATGTTGGTAAATTCTTCATAGTGATTCTAATTTTCTTGCAACACTGCTGAAAGTTCGGAGGAAATGATAATTCACTACCTTATTGGAATTTTGGTAAATTCCCGATGGTGCTGGTAATTTACTTACCCTACTTATACATTTTTAAAAGAGTTGGTAATTTACTACTCCATTGGAATGTAGATATGCAGGGAATTCACCCACAGTTCAAGATGAGTTGGTAATTTACTACTTTCTAAGTAAATTCATAATAAGTTACCAACATTATTAGAAATTTACTACCCGCTTCAAAATTTTACCAACGATGGGAAATTTTCCAGCTTTCATGCTATCTATCTGACTGAGGTTCAACACCAAAAACTTCGGTCTTGGAGTAGGGTGCGTAGAAGTTGAACGTCACTATCATCACCGGCCGGTCAAGAAGTTGTTCTCTTCGAACTTAAGCGACCTCACCAGGGCCTTAGAGAGATCATTCATCATTGATTTCACCTTAAATTAGCTACACCATAAATAAATTATCAATGCTCAATGATTAATTTATCCAATCATGCTAAACAATACCTTCCGAATGAAAATAAGTCAGTAAATTCTCTATGAACTCGCGTCTACTCTGCAAAAGCCAAATACATGCTGTTCAAAGGAACATTCATGATATAATTTTTGGATAAGTTAATAATTGTTGATGGATGGACACTTTAGAGGGGGTTGGCAGTAAATGTTGCATGGAGTTAGTAACACCATCCGTGAATCTGCACATGTGATCGAGCCATTGCTTGCAAGAGTCAAAAGATTGGTAACTGAACAATAGTATGCAACGATCTAAATAATTGTTGTCATCGATAATAAGTTTAAATCCATGTAGGTGCCGGTAAATATTGCAATGAATTTTAACTCTGGTTTATGGATCGGTAGGTTTTTTCAAGCTATCATCAGTAATTTCTCAGAAAAATCTGAAAATTAACCATCACAGCCATAATTTGAATAGTAATGTATGTCATGCATGGTATCAAGCTCTCATTCCTTATTTTCACCATATTACGTATGTCTTTCAATTATAAGGCTTGGTGATTATTGTAATAATGAGTTGGTAACTCAAAATGAGGACAAAATTGATGTAGCTAGCAAGGATCACCTAGAGGGGGGTGAATAGGTAATCTTAAACAATTTTTGATAATTTATGCGAAAATGAAAGAACACAGTTGAGTCTGAATAAAATTCAGATTCAAGCAGATTATATAGACAGTGCTCTTGATGTGCAGAATGTAAATAAAGAGATAATGGATAGAAAATCTGCACACAAGTTTATAGTGGTTCGGCTTATAGCAAGATTACGTCTACTCTCCCACGCTGACAGCCTACCGGCTGGATTTCACTATGTAATCAAGAGGAATTTACAGATTCTGAGTGATAGCACTCTCGTGTATGATAGGACTCTCTATCTCATACAGTCACTCTTACAAAGTAATCCCCAAGATCTTAATTTTTGGCTCAAAAAGACAAGAGAAATGGCAAAAGAACACTACAAGTGCCATTACTTGTGTACGGCGCTCACTTTAGTGCCATAACTTTTTTTTGGATCACTTTAGTGCTAAAATTTTTGAAAAACGATCACTTAAGTGCTACAATTTTTGAAAAACGATCACTTAAGTGCCAACTTCGGTGCCGTACACAATTTTTCGCCGGAAATCTGACGTGGCATTTTTTTTATTAATTTCTGAAGCTGACGTGGCTCGCCGGAGTCTCGTCGGAGATTGGCACTTAAGTGATCGTTTTTCAAAAATTTTAGCACTAAAGTGATCCAAAAAAAAAGTTATGACACTTAAGTGATCGTTTTTCCTCCGACTTGGCACCAAAGTGATCCGAAAAAAAGTTATGGCACCAAAGTGAGCGCCGTACACAAGTTATGGCACTTATAGTGTCCTTTTGCCCAAGAGAAATGATTGGAGTAGACTCAGACTTTGGACTTGTTGATTCTTGATTCTGTACTTCCTTCTGCTGCTCTTGATCTCCTTAAATACTCCTCTACTTCCAAACTAGCCGTTGGACAGCTTTTAGAGGATCATCTTCCAATCTTCACCTTGGACAGATTTGTATAGAAAGGATTGAGTAGCCGTTGGATGACAGATTCTGAATCCTGCTGATTCTGGTCGCCCGTACAATCAGAATCTTGGTTTTCATAAATAGAGCTTTATCCATTGTAATGCATGCTTGTCGTAATCTTTGATTGTCAATCAATTTAATTGAGATTGAGACAATCAAAGCTTTCCTTCTGTGAAATCCATACCAGATCACTAGCTGTTATTTTTCGTTCTGAGTTCTGCGTCTGAAGAATTTCTACATTTGCTTCTGCTTCTGAAAAGTTTCAGCTTTTGCATCTGCTTCTGAAAAGTTTCAGCTTTTGCATCTGCTTCTGAAAAATTTTTCCGTCTGCGTCTGAATAATTTCAACGACTGAGTCTCAGAATTTAGATTATGTGGGTCTTCAATAAGATATGAACTAGTTTGTAAAGTTTGAAAATCTTCATTCTAAGCTTTCAGAATATATATACTTACCTGGAATAAAATAGTTTAGAATAAGTATCAGATTTACAAAAACACGGAAGGTTTTGTCAACTTCAAAATTAATAGGAGTTTTCTTCAACAATCTCCCCCTTTTTTATGGTGACAAAACTTCCTTTGCAGATTGAATCAATTTGAAATAAATAAGTATATTAAGCGCAAGAAACACAGATTGAAATTGAAAGAGCAAACTCTATTGAGATCTGTGTCTTTTTCTTCCTCTGTATATAACCTGCATATGATATGCATATTTAATGTTAGTATGGCAATATGGCAAATCTACATATAATTTCTCCCCCTTTTTGTCATCAGCAAAAATAATAATGGAGAGAATAAAACATTGACATAAATTTAACCAAGCAGTCTAACATGAGGAATTGTGAAAAATATTACAGACCAACAAAAAAAGAGACTGTTGAAAAGCAGGCTATTTTTTGGAAGGGGTTCGAATTAGTTGAAAATTTTCCAGAATGGAAACAGGTTCCTCGATCTTCGAAGTGCATTCTCCCACAGCTTTGTCCATGTTGGTTGAACACAGAGCAATAGCCTCTTCAAGTTCTGCTTTATCTTTGGCTGCCTGAAGATGTTGAGATTTGTTGTTTTCCTCAACAATTTTGTGAAGATTCTTCACATCTTGTTTAATTGCAGCTTGCTTATCCTTAATCTCGAGCAGAAGAGAGAGAATTGTTTCATTATCTAAGGGCTGTTCCTGGACATTTTCTTGTTCAGACTGATTGAACCCTATTGTTGTTGCTGCTTTTGGAATCTCCCCCTGAATAGGTGCATGATCTTCAGAAACATGTTTTTCGTGAATTGGTTTTGAAACCTTTGGAGTTGGTTCAGAAATATGTTCTGGACCATCAGTATGGCCTGTTCCAAGGTGGTCTGCTTCTGCTTCATCACTTTCATCACGCAGAAGAATTTTTCGTTTCTTTATGCACACCTTTAGTGGGTTGAAGATTCAACCTGCTTGCTTGCTGATCCTGCTCTTTTTCTCTGCCGTTTCTCAATTGACTTCCCAACAGATTGAGCTTCAGAAGATTGAGCATCCTTTCCTTTTAATCTTTCCCTTAAATCATCAAATTGCTTCATTTTTGAAAGCATTTTTTCTCCAACATACATACAAGGAACAAGATTTTTCCTCAGCTCATCAGGAATGGATATCTTGTGGAACATGAAGATTCGTGAGATGAGGGCACCATATGGAAGTTGCCCCTTGTCCTTCTGTAATGCTCTATATATATGGAAAATGATGATATGGGGAAGAGAGAAGGATTGACCTTTCAGGATTGCCCAGATAAACTTAATTTTTGACTTGGATAAGTCAGTCTTGGATGCTGCTTTGGGCTTCAGACAGTTGATAATGATCTTGTGTAAAATCACAGATCTTCTAGACAAATCTGAATAGGAAAGATGCCTTGTGGAGCCTTGAGCAAAGTTTGCATTCTCTGAGGTCACCCTGGAAGCATCTTCGATGCTCACTTCCAGTGGAGTAAATATGGAATGTTTTGCTCCAATAATCGATGCCAAATCCTTAGCTTTTAAATCAAACTTTTTGTCACCAACAGTAAATTAAATCTAGTTGGGTGACAAAATTGAAAGATTAGAGTAAAAGCATGTAGTCAGTTCAGCATAGACATTTGCAGACTGCAAACAAAATTCATAAATGCCCAACTTGGCAAACAAATCCTTTACTGAAATACCAGCCTGTTCCAGATAATCAAAGTCTACGATCCGATGGTTCATGACTCCTCTAGCAAACAATAACTTATAGAACATATTGTGCTCATTGCTTCTAAATAAGCCTCCAGTTCCTGGCATACCAGATGCAATCCCAACTTTCATTTGAAAAGTATCAAAGAATTTACCATCATCATCAGGAATGACAAACTTGGTTGCACTGGTGGTTTTAGGGCTGATTTGAGCAAATTTTTTTTCAGAGGCTGTTGATGATTCTCCGACTTTTTCTTTGTCCTTTTTGGAAGAGGACTCTTTTGTTGTAGAGCTAGCCGGAACAGTGTCAGTTTGAGGACAAACCTTAGAGTAGTTTTCCGTAAGATGTTTTTCAGAGAGGAATCCATTGTCTCTCAGACAATCACACAGAGTCGATGGAGAGGCATTGCTTCTCTTCAACCTCTGATAAGCTTTCCATACAAGCTTGATGCTCTTAAAACGAAAATCTGTTTTATCG